CCAAGGCATGACTGGGACCCGCTGGCTGGAGGAGCCCGGCGGCTGACTGCGCGTGGGAGCGGTGAATTCGCTCTGTCGGCCGGCCGGCAGATCCCACGTGAGGAAGAGTCGAGAGGTGCGGAACGAAATCGTGCCATCTCGCGGATTTTGTGGTTCTGGGTGCGCGGGTGCATGGCAGTGGCATTTCTTCGTCCGCAACTTAACCGACCTTTCATTACCTAAACTAAAGGCAAATATAAAATAATTGTGATACGAAGTGTAGCAAGCGTGTGTTTATGTGTTTGGGCTGTGGGCCGCATTTGGCGCTGGGCAGAGATAGAACTGCCGATTCGATCACATGCGGAACTTTATATACTGTGGGGGTTGTAGCTACAACCCCAACTTTTAAAAGTACAACCCCAATGGCAAAACTACAACCCCAACATTGGAAAATTAAGAATCAGCCTAAAACACATGAAAATGAACAAAATATTTATCATACAGAAGCAGATAATTGAGATATATCAAGAAAGTGAAGATATCAATAAATTAGGACATCTTTTTGAATTCCAGATGCTAAAAACATTGAAAGTGCTCTGTTAAGAACATATCATTCCGCTGAGGCTGAGACAGTGATCATGATATGAAAGTTAATCACTTCACACTTCTCAAGCATACTAAGTGAATCATATTGAAAGTGTTCCAAAAAATCTTAACATGTAACATGAAAGTGTGAAGCAAAAAAATCATAACAATCATCATACTTTTGCAGTGGCGGATCCAGCTCAGTTTTTTTTTGGGGGGGAACCATAACAACTTATCGATTCTCATGCCTCGTCCATAGGTATGATGTTTAAATTATGCCGTTTGGGAGGGGCAAATGCCCATTTTGCCCCCCCCCCCTGGATCCGCCACTGTACTTTTGGGTTTTCTCACTAAACATTTCATACCTGTGGGCTGTGCTTATCAGTTTGACAGAAAACAGTCAGCTTAAGAAATAAATTAACCTAACCTAAGCCTTCACCCTATGTAGCATTCTATCACCATAATCTGACCATAATATTGCGTGTCAACGACCACAGAACCACTCACAATCAAAATACATTTCTAAAGTGAAATATCACTCTGTTCGCAATTTTGTCAGTTGGCACAATACCACCAATCAGCACGAATATTTAGGTAAAATGACGACACTTAAAACCAACGTTGACGACCATAACAACCAATCCTGTGCGATAATTAGTGCTGATAATCTTACTGACAGGTTCGCGAACAGAATGCAAACTAAAGTCACATGTAAGCCAACATGACGCATCTGATACAAATGCAAGGTTTTGGCGACGTCTGTCAATTCAGCAGCAACGAATATCAGCCTCACAGCAGCATATTTCGGTGTCTTTCGATTTGGCTGAAAATCGGTATCCAGGGCCTCCTCGATGCGCTGATTCCGAAAATATGCCTCTTTGGGGTGGTATTTTGCACCGTTAACGAGTTAACGACTATTTAACATTTTAAAGGTAGTGTGCCAGCTTTCTTGGACCATATGGAGTTAATGACCCGGATAAGGAGAACCGGATTTTTAGAACTTATCCATACCTTCAAAACTTATGGAAACGTCTCAAATTCTTCAAAGTTTGAGTACCCCAGTGCGAAATTCGCCCCGACGGATTGTCGGTCGTACCCCAACCACATTTCACACCACTATGAACAATAAATGCACACACTAAAATCGCTATTACCGATAGGCTCATCCAATCAAGTTTCGATAAACCCGTTCATCATCATCTCCTGCGGTTTCGAACACGCCTGTTAGGTGGCTTCTGATGCTCGTCGAGGTCGGAATTTCCAAATACGCGTGGTGCGTCGGGCCGCGCGCTCTGACTTCGGTCAAGAAAAATGCGTCAGCTGATCATTGTCATTTCTGCCACTTGCGTGTGGTGTAATGGGGTCATAACTTAAGAGACGGCTGTTTCATATCAATTATTTTACATAAAATCATATTTCAAACCACAAATTAATGTTCGACAGCCAAATTTAAGAAACAATACCAATACAGGCTTACAGTTTAAGGCTCGACATTGTGTTGTCTACGATTAGACAGCTGATAACTCATTCCCGTACGTCGTATGGTCGTAACACTATAATGACCTTTGCTTATTGTCACAAGTGCGCCGCATTCGCGATTGTTGCCCGACGCCTGTTTGCAGGTGAGCCCACTACAGTTGTTATACATATCTAAAAACCGATAAACTTTTAGGCGAAAAAGGCACTATTCCAGGCCCATTTTTGATTTTTTTTGCGATATTAGGTAAAAACAGAAGCTTCTTATCCTAGGAAAAATAAAACGGGAAATCTTTCAAAGGTGGCACACTACCTTTAACGGGAAACGGCGGGGTCTTTCGATTTAGTTGAAAATTGGTATACAGGGCCTGTTTGATGCGCTGATTCCGAAAATGCACTTCTTTGTGGTGGTATTTTGCACCGTTAACGAGTTAACGACCAATTAACATTTTAACGGGAAACGGCGGGGTCTTTCGATTTAGCTGAAATCGGTGTTCAGGGCCTCCTCGATGCGCTGATTCCGAAAATGTACCTCTTTGAGGTGGTATTTGCACCGTTAACGAGTTAACGGCTAATTAACATTTTAACGGGAAACGGAGGGGTCTTTCGATTTAGCTGAAAATCGGTGTACAGGGCCCCCTCGATGCGCTGATTCCGAAAATGTACCTCTTTGGGGTGGTATTTTGAAACAGCTAATTAACATTTTAACCGGAAACGGCGGGGTCTTTCGATTTAGCTGGAAATTAGTATACAGGGTCTGTTTGATGCGCTGATTCCGAAAATGTACTTCTTTGAGGTAGTATTTTGCACCGTTAACGAGTTGACGACCAATTAACATTTTAATGGGAAACGGCGGGGTCTTTCGATTTAGCTAAAAATCGGTATACAGGGCCTCCTCGATGCGCTGATTCCGAAAATATACCTCTTTGGGGTGGTATTTTGCACCGTTAACGAGTAAACGGCCAATCAACATTTTAACGGGAAACGACGGGGTCTTTCGATTTGGCTGAAAATCGGTGTACAGGGCCTCCTCGATGCGCTTCATTCCGAAAATGTACCTCTTTGGGGTGGTATTTTGCAACATTAACGAATTAACGGCCAATTTACATTTTAACGGTAAACGGCGGGGTCTTTCGATTTAGCTGAAAATCGGTGTACGTTCAGTGTCTCAGGGGCAGACAGACAAGCCGTGATGTGTTCCTAGCCATCGTGGCTGTGAAGAGTATGAGTTTTGTTTACGATTCGCCAAACAATGCATAATACCTACATTTGCTCGTTGAAAAAAGAAGATCATCTGAAGTATTCGGTGATATGAAAAGGCTGTGGCATTTATTATTTAATTTCCTCAGGTTGAGATTATTTAGATCCAGTGTTAGGTTCCTTTGCGGCATTGTGTTCGGTATGTTGTCCTCGTTTGCAAAATATCTCATGTCTGATCACTGTGATCAGTCACTATTCCGGTTTCTACTACCCGTTTCCGTAATAGACGCATTGCAGACGTCCGTGGCATTAATATACAAAGATGGACTCGTTTTAAGTTTTTTAGTCTAAAAATAACGTATTCCTGTTTAGGTCTTCTTTGTCAATTGCCACGAGTGGCTCAAATTGTTACTCGTAGGGAAAGAGCCTTGCTCCAATACTGAGTAATGTTTGTGTCAAATGTCGAAAGAAACAAGTATTCATAGGGACTGTGATTTTGGGCGTTTACCTACCGTTTCCGAATCGCCACGACCAGTGGCAGCGGAACACCCTCAATTAAAGGGGGCACTGCCGACTTTTGGTCCCATTCTTTCCATGCAACGCCCATAGGTAGGGCTTATGTTAAAATGCCAAAATCAAAGGGGGGCGAGGTGCCCCGGTGCCCTCCCCGTTCCGCCGCCTATGGCCACGACCATGGTGGCGATACCCGAGTACCTACAACCAGGCACATAGCCAATGGAGGGACGACAGGGCCAGCCGTCTCTCCCTGAAGGTGGACCACTTTTTTATTTTTATTTTTGTAAATGAAAATGTGGGCCCCTCCCGAAAAATAGTGGGCCGAATCCGGGGACTTTTCGGGTTTTGGTGGGGGTATACCCTGGGCTCCGGCAAACTACAACCCCAATGAAAAACAAAAAGTTCCACCTCTGGATTCGATGGCTGGAGATGTGATACCGCGTGTTCGGATGGCCGGAGTCCGGCATTGGCAGCGGGCACAGCCGGTTGGGTTTAGGCGGGGCCGCCGTATGACAACATGTGCATCAGAGCTGTACAGATAGACGGATATGCATATGCCCCCTGGACCACAAATGTTATGTTTTCCATTGCCAAAAGCGTGCCATGAATGAAGGTCATGTAAATTTTCTGCCTCACATGGTTATACGAATCCAAGAACAGGGCCACAAATAAGCTAGGTAAATGCGAAGGGATATAGGACAGGTGCTGAATATTGCAATTCTGGTGCCAATTCAGCAATCATTCCGAATAGACAATCAGGCAACATAAGGCTACCTGTCAGCATTTTTTGTGCCAGATTCAGTTATTAGGTTCTAGTAAGCTTTTTGGTGCTGCTCAGCAATTAGGTGCTAGGAACAGCTATGCTATTTAGGTATCCAAAACAAATATTCCCCCATCGGGAATAGTCCAATACGGTAGAAGGAATGAAGCTACCCTACAAAAATTACCGCATGTAAATCGGTTAAGTGGTTGCTGAGATATAAGCCTCACAGAAGCGTGACCACGGCCGCTCATTCTCAGAAAGTCTTTCGCTCATACTTCGCTCGCTCCGTAATAAACTGATTCTTTTATAAAAGCGTATATAGCAAAGCAAGGACGTGCGCCGCGCAGAGACCGCAAAGGGGGATCGGGGGACCGAGGTGGCCGGGGGGGATCGGGGGACCGAGGTGGCCGGGAGCGCCGCCGGTCTGGCAGGGAGGGGTGCAGGTGCCGCTGTGCAGCTGGCCATCCGGGCCACGACTCACCCGAAAGATGGCGGCCACGACGGCGGTGCAGAGCGGTGGGCGCTGGCTGAGGCCGCCGGCCGCCGCTGCAAACAGCTCCGTCAGCGGCGCACCGTGCTCGTCGGCGCCTCTCCAGGGCCACTCCGAGTCGGCTGCCGGCGGCCGGTTACAACCGTCAGTGGTCATCACTAAAACAGAACGTTTGTGAAATGAAACAAGTGCTTTTTTGGGATAAATGTGTTAACAAAAAATAAGTGAGGATCTATGATCTCACTGGATCTCAAGCAAAAAAATGAGACTCGGATATGTGATCCCTATGGATCTCTCGATAACTTACAGAGCTGGATCTATGATCCCGACGGATCCGAGATCAGGATCCGTGGGATCAGATCCCAGATCCATTTTCTCGGATCCATGCACATGTCTGCTTGCTGACATATAGCGACGTAATTTCGCATCTCTGTAGCAGAAAAAGTGAGGGGAACTAGCTCACGACGGGTGATGTGTTTACCAGGACCGGGCAGTCGATTGATCTTCGGTTACTCCGACTCCGACTCAGGCTTCCAAAAATAAATTTCGACTCCGACTCCGGGCTGAACTGTCGATAGACTCTGACTCCGATTCCGTAGCCATGGCAAGTATGCGGAGTCGATGAATTTTGGTGACTCCGACACTGAGTTTGGCTCCGAATTCCAAAATCGATTTTATTTCGACTCAGAACTGTTGATTTCACCAGATTTGGACTCAGACTCCGCCTTCCTGGTATTTACCAGCAAGTAAGAGTCATAAGATTAAAGAACAAGTGCGTGGTGCTTCGTTCCCATTACCATTCCATCAAGTCAGATGCGACCCAGTTTAATCCAACGATACAAGGCTGCTGCAAGATCAAAGTCACAGAAGAGTATCCTTGCTAAAAGCTTTTTCACTTATTCAAGTCGGCCATAAAAATGAAGACATTCTTGCCATCCTAGGGCTCTAAATGAATGCTTTCACCAAAATGGATGCCGGATTCATGATCAGCGGCTATGAATCCCGTATAAGCTACCATTCATGTGTCTAGGTAAAAAGAAGGTCATTCGAGGTCACATGAGGTCAACATAAAACTTGAACTTTTCCATGCAAAATATTTGTCATTCGACGCGTCTTGACAAGACGAATGCGATAGTACCACTGCTGTAGCTCTCGGACAATTTTTGTTAGTTATTTGCGAAACACTAAAACCTCAGCTCAGGGTCGTTGACCTGACCTCTGACCTGAGGTCACCAAAACTATTTTTTATACTTTTTACCCACGTCAAACCCCACGCAACCGCTCCTGTGATTTGTCACAATCATTTTGTCAATTGTTTCACAATCGTTTTGTTCCATGATAAAGTATTTGGGGATTTTGGGAAGGGTGAGTCAGGTGACGTCAGGTCAGGTCGATCATCAGGCTATTCTTAGTTCGTCTTTGCCAACACAAGCATAGAGCATCGGCCCGTGCCGCTGGTCACTACAGCGAAAATTCAGCAGCATACCCAGCGCAGCTATCCACTCGCTCCTCCGCTAATTACTTCGACTGCCCGGCTCGGCCCGACCCTGCCCGGCCACCCTATCCGGAACAAATTGGACTCTGCGGGAGGTCGCGGGAGGGACCGCCGCTTCAATTCTTTCTTACAGTATCTTTCTTACAGCTTCAAAAAGTGGGCATCTCTGTTCAATTTTGTCGACAGATCATTCAAGTTCACCCCTGCAATGACCATTGACCAGCATTGACTCAAGAAAATATGAAAAATGAGTACTTTTTGGTGAAAAATGGCAAATCTTCTGGTCTAGAACAAAGCATCAGAACCGCAGATATCTATGGGGCTCCTCAAAGCCATTCTTCATCACCATCTTAATATGTTTAGCACGCGCACCGACCGCCAACTGCGCCAACTTAGAACCGACGGGGGGGGGGGGGGGGCGGATGACCCCTGAGATCTCGAGAACGAAGCAAGATAGCGACAAGCGGTAAACGGCATGGGATACGCACGGACAAGGTCTACAATTTTTACAAAGGTAATTTTCAGGTCAGGTCAAAGATGACGTCACAGGGGTCAAAAAAGTCAAAGTGGCGATGGTGGCGGCGCTAGATATGGAGTTTTTCTCGAGTAACTTTCGAACTAGTCAAGATAAAAACAAACTAAGGGCATCATCGTGATCCTCTCGTCAATCCGCATCGAATGATATATATGTTGACCTCGAAAGGTCAAGGTCAAAGGTTGACCTCAGGTCACGTGACCTCGAGGTCATCATGTATATCATTCGATGCGCCTTGACGAGCTGAACACAATGAGACCATCCGCGCGGCTGTATCTTGTTCCTGTGCGGAGTTATTGGCAAAAAACATTTGGTGACCTTTGATGACGTCACATGACCTTACAGCCGCCCAACAGCAAAACAGACCTCAAGGTAGTGAAGTTTGATGGTATATGAAGTCATGTATGGTTTATGGGGCCGTTGAGATCCGTTTTAGTGGTAAAAAACAGGGAGTTGATTTTTCCCCCATTGACTTTAATGGGGAGGTCGAGAAATTGACCTCCCCATTGCATTGACCAAAGAAAAGAAATTGAAAAAGGTCATCGATATCCAAATTCCGAGATATACAAATTGTAGCTACTAATGAGCTTGTAGCATCCTGCGACAATCAAAGGCCTCCGACATCTACTGTAGCTCTGGCACGGTGATAAAGTTGCAAAAAAGTGACTTGAGGTTGGGTCATTCAAAGTGACCTGGTAACCTGACCCTAAAAGTTAGGAGGTTCAAACTTGCACACCACGTGTAAAATTGATGAGAGAATATCCGTACCAAATTTCGCGGCACACTGAGTAACGGCCACCAAATGAGTGCAACGTGGTGAAGTCAGTCGGCAGGGTGATAGTGGTTACGTTCTGGGATGCTGACGGGGGTCATCATCATCATCATATATTTTTTGCGTCACATGGGAAGTAAGTAAGAAATAGAAAACATCAGAAATCAGTGACACAAAGGATCGATGCAGAAGCCTACCGGCTTAAATTAAAGCACCTTTCCTGACAAAAAAAAAAAACGAACGAAGCTGAAGTCGAGCTTGAACAAAACATACAGCACATACAACAGAAAGGAAAGAGCACCACCGGATGTGTTAATGATGGATGTTATTACTGATGCGAGTGATTACTTTTTTGTTGTGCCAGTGGCTGGTCTGGGGACGATTTAATTGTTGAACCGTCTTGTACTGAAGATAAATTTTTGGAACTCAGAGGCAACTCTGAGTTCTGCTCGTCAGCTTTCAAAAACAGGGGCGCGCAATCTACTATTATAAATCTTAAAAAGTCCGCCGCCGTCGGGGTTACGCAGCCGGCGTTACTCCCAAAAACGGCTATTGCGGCGCCGTCGATTGACGCACGAGGGTGAAGTTTTTACCACTCGTGGGTCACGTCATTCAACAGGTCGTATTAAATTTTGGGCACGATTCGGCCGGGGGTGCACCCGTGGCGCGTGCTCATGTGCGCCATAGGGTTAACATTAGAATCGCGACCGGCGCCGAGCAGAGGGCACGTGCTTTAGGCTCAGTTGTTCGCTTAAAAAACTAAGTGAAAAGCATACCGTGAAAAGCATCAGAGCCGGCAGGTCATTGACCTTTGACAACGAAGGCCGACACAGGGCACCGCTCGCCAAGGGGATTCGCCAGTAAATACAATTAATTTGTTTTTGCAATATCTCAACCGTTTCTGGGCCGATTTAGCTGAAACTTGGATTGTCGGTGGCAGTGTAGGGTAGGGTAGGGTAGGGTAGGGTAGGGTAGGATATGGTAGGGTAGGTTAGGGTAGGGTAGGGTAGGGTAGTGAAGGGGTAGGTTAGGGTAGGGGTAGGTTAGGGTAGGGTAGGATAGAGTAGGGCAGGATAGGGTAGGGTAGGTTAGTGTAGGAGTAGGGTAGGGTAGGGTAGGGAAGGGTAGGGTAGGGTAGGGTAGGGAAGGGTAGGGTAGGGTAAGGTAGGGTAGTGTATGAGTAGGGTAGGGTAGGGTAGGGTAGGGTAGGATAGTGTAGGGGTAGGGTAGGGTAGGGTAGGGTAGGTCAGGGTAGTGTAGGGGTTGGGTAGGGTAGGGGTAGGGTAGGGTAGGGTAGGATAGGGTAGGGTAGGTTAGTGTAGGAGTAGGGTAGGGTAGGATAGTGTAGGGGTAGGGTAGGGTAGGGTAGGGTAGGTTAGTGTAGGAGTAGGGTAGGGTAGGGAAGAGTAGGGTATGGTAGGGTAAGGTAGGGTAGTGTATGAGTAGGGTAGGGTAGGGTAGGTTAGGGTAGTGTAGGGGTAGGGTAGGGTAGGGGTAGGGTAGGGTAGGTTAGTGTAGGAGTAGGGTAGGGTAGGGTAGGGTAAGGTAGGGTAGTGTATGAGTAGGGTAGGGTAGGGTAGGGTAGGGTAGGATAGTGTAGGGGTAGGGTAGGGTAGGGTAAGGTAGGGTAGGTTAGGGTCGGGTAGGGTAGGGTAGGGGCAGGGTAGGGTAGGGTAGGGTAGGGTAGGGTAGGGAAGGGTAGGGTAGGGTAGTGGTAAGATAGGGTAGGGTAGTGTAGGGGTAGGGTAGGGTATGGTAGGGTAGGGTAGTGTAGGGGTAGGGTAGGAGGGTAGGGTAGGGTAGTGTAGGGGTAGGGTAGGGTAGGGTAGGGAAGGGTAGGGTAGGGTAGTGGTAAGATAGGGTAGGGTAGTGTAGGGGTAGGGTAGGGTATGGTAGGGTAGTGTAGGGGTAGGGTAGGGTAGGGTAGGGTAGGGTAGGGTAGGGGTAGGGTAGGGGTAGGGTTGAGTTCAAAAAGGGTCCAACATACAAAACACTTGAACACCCCGCAACTGTCACCATCCCTTACAGTTCAATTAAAAACAGCTACCCAAATCTACCCAAATAATACAGCTAAAAATACAAGTCAATCACCCAAACTAATGCACCCGTAACATAACATAAATCAAAACATACTGTTATCGCGTAAACCTGTACCTCTAGTCTACTATTATAAATCTTAAAAAGTCCGCCCACGCCGCCGTCGGGGTTACTCCCTAAAAGGCTTATTGCGGCGCCGTCGATTGACGCAGGAGGGTAAAATTTTTACCGGTTGTGGGTCACGTAATAAAACAGGTCGTATTAAATTTTGGGCACGATGCGG